CTGACGGCGGTCATTATCAGTGTTGCAATTCTGAAAAACAAAGTTTAACGAATTGCATTCGAATCTTTCCAGATCGCTAAACAGAATTTGAAGTATTAAAATTATGTAAATTCAAATTATTTTAATTTTAATCAATACAGTGCTACAGAATATACAGTCTCTCTCCTCGACTTATGACGGGTTCAGTCCCGACTAATCAGGTCTAAGTCAAAAAGGCGAAAATAATACAGTATGACCTACCAGTAACCCGCTTTGTCAAAAATGTAAAACTTGATTGGGTAAATTGTTTTGTGAATTTAACAAAACAATGACATCCTTCCCTAGTCCTCATTGAGAAATGATTGTTGAACTACTTGTATGTGTGTTGAGGGGTAATGAATGACAAGACGCCCTGTCGAGTAAGGGCGGGGCGGACTTTACACCTCCGCCTGACTGTATCAACAACTTTCGTCTGGGACTGTATATATATATTTTCTGAATGTACAAAAAAATTGCCATCTTATTACAATTGTTTTTGTTCTTGTCCTTTCTAAAATTTCTTCTTCTTTTATTTAATTGGAATTTTTTTTTTTAAGTAAATGTTTATAACTACAGTAGGTCAGGGAGTGTGGATATAATCATAAATTATTACTTGGGGCAAATAACGAAAAGTACCGTTGTTTTATACCCCTGAGAAAGTGTCCCTTATATGCGAGAGTAAAGTCTGATATCAGAAGGGCATGAGCCTCTGTTATTTTGAATTATGGAAGTTTTACTGAATAGTAGTTCCCTGCCAACATATACCATACTTACAGCATATAAGACTGAAGGATGGAATTCGGGAAATGTCCTAGCGTGGATAGAAGACTTTCTACATGACCGCAAGCAGTGTGTGGTGATTAATGGCAAAAATCATCATCTTTACCTGTCACAAGTGGGGTACCACAGGGCAGTGTATTGGGCCCGCTGTTGTTTGTTTGTTTCATAAATGACATGCCTGACGTTGTACGCCCCTCCATACAAATGTTTGCCGATGACGCTAAGTTATTCCGGGAAATTAAGAACCAAGCTGACAGTGAAGAGCTGCAGAAGGACCTCTGTGGGCTCCAGGAATGGTCGGGAATGGCTGCTGAGATTCAATGTCACGGTGTAAGAGGATGCACCTGGGGCGACTAATGGTAAGTGAGGCGTACCATATGTCCCAACGGGATGAAGAAACTGCACTAGTTGAGACTGAATGTGAGAAGGACCTCGGTGTGTATGTTGACAATCAGCCGGCCTACAGCCTCCTCCCCATCTCGGCCAATGACAGTGAGCATCTGGATTCACGCCACAGCCCTCCAGCCAAAGAGAGGCTGAATCCCTCTCCTCAGTTCTTTGTTGTGGGGGATCTACACTCTGATACTGATTAAAGTAAAAAACCATAAGTGGGTGGGAGCTTTGTTGCTTAAGTCACACCCAGTACATCACTCATGATGCGCCATCACCATCTGCAAGTACAGTCATTTAGCTTCAAAATGTAAAAAAATGATTGTTGTATCTCATAAAACAACAAAGTTATGAATGTTTTAAGTAGTAAAACTTTAAATGCCGTTTTCTGGTTTCAAATTTGGTGGAATAATCCTAATGATGCGGGCGCCCTGTTCTGTATCAGTAAATGAGGAATAAATAAAAATACCAATAAATAAATTACGACAATAATAATGTATTGCCAAACGAATAAATAAAAGTTCATTGGTTAAGGTTGTGCACAGCTGTACCCCTTCACCATAGCAACGGCGACACTACCTCCACCTATTCCTAGCAACATTCACCCCCTCCCCCGCCACCAACAGTCCTCCCACAGCCAGCTAACTCGTGTGCAAGAAACGTATGTTCACCCAAAATACGAGTTGAAAACAACAGCTTGGCCTAGCCTGATGGTTACAGAGACAAGTCTTACCTGGCTACAACGCTGCCAGTGATGTTAACAGATGTAAATATGAAAAGAAAGTTATCTGTAAATCTTCATTTGTTTCAGGTAATTGTAGGTTTAAAATAAATGTTGCAGGTATGGCATTAATAGATTGTAATGCTTGTAAGAGTTCAGAAATGGCTACTGTTTAGTTACCTCAGAAGAGTTGTGTCTGTAGGGACATTAATTGTCGGTTATCATCATCAAACAGTAGTTATAAATAAGTTTTATATTTATAATAATTATTTCTTTTAATTAATTAGAAATAATAATGTGTTTAAATAAGCAATATATTTTAATTCTGAGTGTTAGGTAGAATTGATCCTACTGGAGACAGCAACTGTGGGATTCATTAGCTGAGGGAGACTGCAACTTCATATAGGATGCAGACTGATTTTTTGCCATTTTTCAGACCAAAGTGGGCCTTATATGCCGTAAAATACAGTACTCATAACTATATAATTATAACAGTTCTCTGCCAAGATATATTACAAAGGATGTAAGAGAGGAAAAGAGTTTATCATCTCATATAATATAATGGTTGACAATATATACAGTACCACACACACAATACTATAGTGTTATCTGCCACCCATCAACTTATATACCCACAGGACAAGTTAACTGTTTTAAGACAACTCTCACAACAATTACTAATACATTAATCATAATAGACGACTCAACAAAATATCTTTCACTCTGAATGATAATTTATGCACTGTGTATAAAGATGAAATCATATATAGTACATGATTCTTCCTTAATCCTGTCCTAACCTAACCTCAGAGTTCAAGAAATGCTACAGTCAGGTGGTACAGTATAGGTCAGGTTAGGCTGAGGTAACAATCTTTACACTTGATGATGATAATGTTATATAAAATACAGTGCTAAGTAATGTTAATGTGTAGTCATAAACTGCTTGTCTCACCTTAGCTCTGTAATGTAGGTTGTCACTGAAATGTGTTTAAATACTAAGTACAATACAGTACAGTATTTCCAAATTATAATTAAATAGATTTAAAATACATTTATAAAATTATATATGAATTTAGTTCCAAACCTTTTAAAACAAATGTATTCCCTCAGGCTGTCAGTTGCTGCTTTTCCAGTTTAAATAAAATAAAATTATTAACTTAACCATACGCTGACCATTGGTCATAGCGACTAACTGTACCTCAGGCAGGAACCTGAGGGGTGTTGCCGCATTTTCCATGTTTACTTTGCCAACAGTGTAAAGTATTGGCACCAAACTCTCAGTCGAACAAAGAAAAATGGTCATACATCGGGTGCTGACTAAGGCAATGTTGGGTTATATTTAAAAAAAAAAAATTTAGAATTAGGGGAGATTTGTGTTAATTTATTGTCTGGATCATTTAGATATATTAGTATTGTAATGTAATATACTGTACCTATATTAGTACTGTAATGTAATGTACTGTACCTATATTAGTACAGGTAGTTCTGCTATAACGCGATAATTGTGTTCTTGTAAAATATCGTGTTATAGAAAACGCGTATAGAAAATAACAGGCTTATGGAGAAAATAGGGTTAGGTGCAGATTACTACCGAAATCGAAAAATTTAGTAGTTAGCCTAACACAAAGGATAGCAGTCTAAATAAATGTTACATTCATATCTAATAATGAAATCATAGTAAATGTTAAATTTTTACTTGATGGGGAGAAGGGTGGTTTTGAGGTTGATAAATCGAGCTTCTTCAAGTGTTATATCCTTTCTTTTACGATCATCACCAGGAATTCTATCACCAGATTGCTTCTTGTTGATATTCTTCTTTACCATATTCACAGTTAATACCACAAAATTGGAGAAATAGTAAGCAAAAATCGCATTATAGCAAACAAGCGTTCACGTTATACAAATATCGTTTCTAATTCATAAATCGAGTTAGAGCAAATTCAAGTTATCAAAACACGCGTTATAGCAGAACTCACTGTACTGTAATGTAATGTACTGTACCTATATTAGTACTGTACTGTAATGTAATGTACTGTACCTATATTAGTACTGTACTGTAATGTAATGTACTGGACCATCATTTCTGGGGTTTGTGCTGTGATGAAATATCAAAGGTAAAAACTCTCATCATTGTCTGAGGACCGAGGCTACAGACCACTGCTGTACCTGTGGTGGTGTTACTAATTTCCTTAGATTTATTGTAAAGTTTTGGAAGATTTTTTATAATGTATCAGCTCAATGTTTACTGTAAATAAAGTATTTAAATGTATCTGATATTGAGTATTTCTATATAAATATTTAATTTTTTTATCATATATGTATTTAGATACTTGCTCCAAAATGTATTTATAAATATACTTTGTGCTGTATAGTGTTTCAATACATATTTAAATGTCAAATAATAATTCAACAGTTCAAACAACAGAGCCGGAAGAATATTAAACCAATAATACAAAATTCAAGTGATAAGACTGATCCACAAACAACATTTATACAATACTGTATATACAATTGAGAGCCTCACACACCTTGATACTGTGCTGGTTCCTTCCTAGGTGTAGTCATGGTAGATGTTCCTTCCTAGGTGTAGTCTGGTAGATGTTCCTTCTAGGTGTAGTCATGGTAGATGTTCCCTTCCTAGGTGTAGTCATGGTAGATGTTCCTTCCTGGGTAGTCATGGTAGATGTTCCTTCTAGGTGTAGTCATGGTAGATGTTCCTTCCTAGGTGTAGTCATGGTAGATCCTTCCTAGGTGTAGTCATGGTAGATGTTCCTTCAGGTGTAGTCATGGTAGATGTTCCTTCCTGGGTGTAGTCATGGTAGATGTTCCTTCCTAGGTGTAGTCATGGTAGATGTTCCTTCTAGGTGTAGTCATGGTAGATCCTTCCTAGGTGTAGTCATGATAGATGTTCCTTCTTAGTGTAGTCATGGTAGATGTTCCTTCCTAGGTGTAGTCATGGTAGACGTATTTCTACCAAGTGCAGTGCACTATATCATTTATGTCTCCATGTGAGGCCACCATCACCTTCACTATAGTATTGTGATGTCTTCATTTACACCAGATATTATATACTGTACAGTGACACCATACTGCTCTCCACAAACACCACCTCATGTACACTGCTCAGCACAAACACCACCTCATGTACACTGCTCAGCACAAACACCACCTCATGTACACTGCTTGCACAAACACCACCTCATGTACACTGCTTAGCACAAACACCACCTCATGTACACTGCTCATGCAAACACCACCTCATGTACACTGTATACCAACACCACCTCATGTATACTGTAGCACAAACACCTCATGTACACTGCTTAGCACCACCTCATGTACACTGCTTAGCACAAACACCACCTCATGTACACTGTAGCACAAACACCACCTCATGTACACTGCTTAGCACAAACACCACCTCATGTACTAGCACAAACACCACCTCCTTTTTCTCCTCAAACACCACCTCATGTACACTGCTCAGCACAAACACCACCTCATGTACACTGCTCAGCACCACCACCTCATGTAGCTGCTTGCACACACCTCATGTACACTGCTTAGCACAAACACCACCTCATGTACACTGCTTAGCACAAACACCACCTCATGTACACTGCTCAGCACAAACACCACCTCATGTACTGCTCAGCACAAAACCACCTCATGTACCAGCACAAACACCACTCATGTACACAGCTCAGCACAAACACCACCTCATATACACTTGATATAGATTCATTACACCTTAAGTCGTAACTCGGTTCAGGTAAAACTGCCAGGCAGACAGTGGCAATATGAAGACCGCAATGAAGCAGTTAAGCATTCGTCTTAAAACCTCGGCGGACTAAATCCATGTATTTCTTGGTGTTCTCAAAAGTTCCGATCAATTGGCAGGTCCTCGAAGACGTTTTAGATAAAAACACCCATGATCAGCAGCTGGAAGAGTCACACTAATGAGCACACACAGGGACAACTTGTACCCACAGAATATCACGGATGCTCTTCTTGTTTTCCCTGTATGAGAACCAACAGTCTGTAAACAAAGTACCATGTTAAAATACTTAAGTGTTAAAAATATTGTTCAAGAACACCATCATGTTAAAAAATAAAAAGTTTCTGAGCACCAGTAATGAGCAGATGTTATAAAGTTTGCCAGAACATAACAAACTTCACCTAACCTATCACTCTACAGTATTTTAATTAGCTTCACTAATCTAACCTATACTCCCCCCCTATATATGTAAAAAAAAAAGCATTACATCCTTAGACATACATTAGTACATAAGAACAATACAGAGGTAAACCACGGCCCATATTACAGGGGAGACACCAAGCAGTCACACAAGGTCTCATGAGGTGATCCTGACAGCAGACTTTTCACCTTTTATTTTCTTGTGTCCATGCACCTTGACCACCCACCCTCTTGTCCCCTTCTTTCCATTAGACATCAGTTACTCCACACTGTAGAACGCATGTGTGAGACTGAGTGTATTTAAAATTCACTAATAACTAACTACCACAGCCACAGATTCACGTTGGTCTTAGTCGGTCATTACGGAGCAACAGTCATCCACCTCTCCGAAGGAGCCTGATAGCGACTTGTCATGCCCAGGGGATGGAATGGATACAAGTCTTTCTGATATTATGTGACTTATCTCTGAAGCTTAACACCCCTACCAGCAGCTGCTGCGTGTCTGTTTAGTCATGCTGGGCTTATTATTTAATTAATTTATTACCCCAGGCGACAAGCCTAGTCCCAAGACCATGCGGTCACACACTAATACTTGGTACTCTGTCTCGCAGGACCACTTATGACTTCATATGGAACCATATTGATATGATTTGGAACAATGGGAGTTAGCACCACCAAAGTGTGGTAGTGGTGACATATACTGGTTAGTGACACTCCTGTGGGAGGTCCCTGACAGGTAAGGCAATAGTGTTGAAGTGTATTAGTGTTGGGACAGTTACAGGAAAGACGTGGTCATCCCCACCTCAGATACTGCCAGATGGGTCTGTATCCTAACCTAATGCCAGCAGAGAATTATGTCTGTGGACCATAAATCCATGTCGACTAGTGATCAGAGTGTTGGATGGATATAAGCCCTTTTACTATCCTGCGATGGATTGCAGGGGGAATGTGTTCTCTTTCAGTAGAGTGTGCTGGGCTTATATCTAGGCCCTAAAACATCTTGATAGGACAGCCATAATGTTGAGAACCAGTTATTGATTAATCTCAACAGAAAGATTAACAAATAAATATGTGTAATGCTGTGACTTATTTTAAGTCTTTAGTTAAATAGTTTTTATAATTTACTGTGAATTTATTTTAATATTTGAGACCAATAATAATTTTGTTGTTACTTTCAGTACGAATACTATATGAATGAGATACTTTTCTACTTGAGTACAGTACATTGATATTTGGATACTTTACTGCTAGCAGGTAACATTTTTAATGTAACAATATTACTTTTAGTAACAGTCCAGTACTTTTTACAACTCTGGGTATACAGTTGTGCACTAAGATAGTATAAGTTGCTATTCGCGGGTTTGCCTATTTATGCAATTCCTGACCCCATCTCTCTGGTAACAAGGGTTTACTGTATTCTATCTCTGTATATCAAAGTTTGGAGGCTAAAAATTCTTATATTCATCGGGACTGCTATAGTGGTACCCCCTCATGAATTTGTTTCAATGATCCTGATAGGAAGCGATCCACCGGACCACCTTTGAGATTGTAGGAGTCTCTGAATAACCACAGTGATCCCAATTGGTTGGGTGGTGTAATGACTGAATATGGCCCCACAATCTGAGCAGATTTTATCAGTGAAACTGATTGGCTGCAAGTACTGTATTATTAAATCAAGTATTGATCTAAATGATATCTGAAGCTGAGGAAGTAAAATTAGCATGTGAAACACATTGATAATGTTGATATCTTAAAATGACTTTATTAGCAATAAGATGCACTTCCTGTTACCTTATTCCACCATCCCAGTGATTATTCATCCACCATGATTCAACCAATCACAAGCTGATTTGGCTCAGCTGCAAGTTTGGGATTGAACAAGAGTAGAGTACGTCTGTGTTGGCACAATATTGTACTCCACACACCTCACTAGTACAGCACTTATCCATCTGTGTTTCCTCGATGATAAACATTATTATTCCCGATTTATGAAAGAGTTTCAATAACTGAAGCACTTTCCACAGACTAAATGTCTTAAAATGACAAAAAACAAACTTAAATAAACTGTTGGTGTAGGCCATAATTATAAGCCAATAGTAAACACAGCATACAAGTTAAATGCTCTACAGGTTGACCACCAGTTTTCCGGCACCATCGGAAACAGAATCATGCTGAACCATCCGGATCAAAGTAGGTATGCTATAATCTAATCTAATTGGTTCTAGAACCTTGTTCGTTATAGCATTCGTTCTATAGGATTAATCCGCTCCAGGCCCCAAATACAACCACTTAACACTGAAAAATATAATATAAAATTGTAAAATTGTAAAAAGTGCATAAATATGCATCTAAACCCCTGAAATAAAGAATATCATGAATATTTGTAATAATAAAACAATAAATTAGAAAAAAAAATTAAATTATTATGTTGTAGGAGTTTCGTTGGTTATAGCATTCTCAATTTTATAGGTAAAACCGTTAGTTATAGGAATATTCATCAGATCCGTTCGTTATAGCATATCCCACTGTACTGGAATCCCCAGAAGATCTCGATGGAGTTATGTTCCTGAAAACCTGTCACAAATCAAAATATTGTAGATCAGGAGCATTATAGCACAGGGTTCAATGGGACAGCTTCCTGGCCAGTCAGGTGCAGTCCCCTTCACAGTGTATTTACAGGGCCCATCATATAAACATTCCACAAATCATTATCTTTGAGATACAACTTTTCCTTCAAATTCGGGGGGTTAGGTTCTCAAAATGGACAAATCGCAAATCCGTGAATAATATTTGCTGACCAGGGCTACATTTTTCCTTGTGTATAAATAAATGTACAGTATACTGTATTCCCTTTATGTGTTTGCCCTTAGGGTAATTATTTCTTTACCTGTATTGTATATATGTGTGTGTGTGTGTGTGTGTGTGTGTGTGTGTGTGTAGAAAATGTTATGTACTTATGTTTTCCTCAGTCATCCCATTACCTAAGTGTCTCATTTCTTTGACACCCTTAATCACTGTGAAGGTTAAAGTCTTCTTAAGATTGTGATACTGTATATGTTTTGTTATTCTGATTTGTGATATGTTCAGGTAACTGATATGATTAAAGAACATTAATAAGCCCGGGTTAGGGTGTTGCTGGCAGTACCCCATCTTGAATCAAAAATCAACATTTCCAAATTAATTAATTAAAATAAAATATAGGGAAAATAGGTGGACGTTTCAGGAACGCCACCGGGGCCTAAGGGTGATTTATGATTTTGTGAAACAGTTTTCAATGTGAGAATATTGCAGTGGTTTAAATGAAGATGTAAACAAAGTGAGGATAAGTTAGTGAAACTTTATTGGAACATGGAAGCAGTCTCTCTCTCTGGGTGTTATTGGTGAAGGATGGTATTTTGTATCGTGAAAACTCACAGGTTGAAAGGGTAATCCAGTTTTTACTGGTAGTAATAAGATATTATAATCTATTTGTGAAGCATACTTGTAAAGTAGAGAGAGAGCATATTGTTAGATTAAGATATAAGACTGACATTAATGTAAAGTTCGTGGAAGCTATCAGGCGTGTCCATTATTGTTTAATATACTTTTATCCTGATTATATTTATGTTACAGCATGAGGGAGACCGTGACAACACAAATAAATAATAATAAATGTGACATCTACCCTCAAGTTACTCAGTACTTTATTAACCCTAGGCCGGGTTGGGTGCACCTCTCAGGGGTATCGATAAGTCCACTTTTCAAAAAATAATTGTTAACCTTTTTAAATGATAAAACAATAAATAATAAGTAAGAAAAACTATACTGCATATTGACCCTGTAAGCCCTCTGGTGGTCAGGAGAACAGTGTTGTTTTGGCTGGCAGCTATTGGTCACTAGGTGGCCACTTTCTGCCTTTTTTGTGTCGGGATGTATAATGCATATATTTACTGATCATAATACAGTAGGGTGTGATATATCGCGATTTTTAAATTATTTTTTATATCATACCACAATTATCGACATTTTCAATAAATAGCGATAAATCTATTTATTTCATGAAATCGGCAGAAAATATTTAAAATATACAGCCATGACAACAAATGCATTATTTGCTCCAGAGGCATGCAGGCTGCTCACTCTCGTTCCGCTTCGCCCGTCAGTCTTTCTGGGTGAGTGGCGAGTCAGCTGACGACTGCTGCAGATTCGACTTCTAAGGTGGTAAATGGGTTGCTGGCGGCGTGAAAAGTGAAGTGAAAGATGGAAACTTAATGGAGAAGATTTAATACTGTAACTAATATTTTTGGTGTTGGTCATGTAGGTGTGGGATTGTCAAGTGAGGTGGCAGTGGCATCTGCTGCGAGTCTGTTGTTCCAGTCTAGTGTTCCTTGGTGCTTTAGTTAGTAAGAAAATAAACTCATTAAGTCAAGTTTAGTCACTTTTATTGGCCTCCAGAACCTAATCCTATTTTCCATTGATTACATGTAATTATATATCACGATTTAGTATATATGGTATCCTTGGGCCTATCTGGCAATATATCCCGACCCTTACTATAGTCACGCTGTAACCTT